ATCTAAATAAATCATCAGGAACTAGGTCCAGCAAGTCGCGTTTACGAATACCAACTCACAGAACTCAAAAATATCATTTGTCGTTTCTTGTCCGGTCTTCTCAATTGTGGAATGAATTAAAATTATATCAGCTTTTGCACCTGTCACCGCAGACCATCAGGAGAAAGTTACTGAATGCATAAAACTGTCGTGTTGTTTGTATCCTGTACTTAATCTTTAGTTGTTACATTAGTTTTAAGTATTATTAGTCATTAAGTATCTTTAAACATCCTGCTAGAGAGCGGGTTCTCGTGTAGTGGGGCTTCTTAGCCCTTTTTGAGGATCCTTAATAAATTCAATTTCAAATTCAATTCAATTTCTCTCTCTCTCTCTCTCTCTCTCTCTCTCTCTCAGTCTATCTCTGTCGCACACACGCACCGAACACACTCACAGATACACACACACACACACACACACACACACACACCTAGACACGGACACGCACCGAGACGCAAAGGTATCTAAAGCAAATCTTTGAATGTATTGTCCTGCTGCAGGTGGAGATGCTGTACCAGCGGTACTTCCTCCGCACCAACCAGGCGCACATGACGCACCTGCTCGCGGTGCTGGTCGGGCTGTGTCTGCTCCTGGCGCTCTTCCACCTCGGCTCGGTGCACTACGCCGGCCAGCCCAGCTCCCTGCCCATCCTACTGACGCACACCTCGTGCGTCGTCGTCTATGTCGGTGAGCAGCTGCTATGCAAACCACACTTTAGACAACTCACATAAAAGAAACACGAACTATTGTTTGTTTGTTTTTTATTTCACTGTGAAAAGTAGTCGAAGGTTTACAGGAAAATTTCATCTACAGTTTGAAATTGTAAATTTACAAGCACTTCATATCGAAATTGATTTGATCTATCCGCAAGATGGGCTGTCGCAAATTTATTACATATTTTTTGTAAATAAAAATCACAACAACTGTTGTAAATTAACGAGGCTAGTAAGTAATCGTAAAGATAGAGGTAGGTGCCACTTAGGAGCTCAGTTTAGTTCGAGACTTTTACCACCGCAAACTTTGAATCGATGAAATCTCGCACCACGCGCTTTGTTTTTTTCGGACGGTGGTGTGGGAAAGGAGGGCAGTCAACGAGAGGGATGGGGCGAGGTAAACTTTACGATTCCCGGGGCCGCCGCCCTTATTTGCGGCCGACACTGTTCGACAGATCAGCCCGGCGATTCTCCTTTATTACTCCTCTCTTCCATCCCCCCCTCCCCTCCACATCCCTACCACCCACATCACCAACCCACCTCCTCACCTGTCGTGACCTCCAGACTGACGCCACCTCTCTGGCGCTGCTGCGGTCACTGGCTGCGCGAACACCACCTCACCATCCACCACCACCTCTCTGTCGGTCCACGCAGGAAGTCCGACCCTTCTCGCAGAGGAAAGAGAAGGGGATATTGCTTTTTTTCACACGAAAAAAAGGGGGCAAAAAAGAAGCGTCCCCCTCTGCATACTGGAAACTGATGCTCTCCCGCTCGCACTCCCCCCGCCCCCTTTTCTCTGTCTGTATGTCTGTCTGTCTCCCTTCCCCTGCGAGCAGACGGAGGCAAGGTGACGTTATTCCATTGTGTAGTAGGCCGTTGCGCGTGTATCCCTCGGCGCGTCCCAGTCCAGGACATACTGTCCCTACGCCGTTATGAGGGTCTGACTTCAAACGCCGCCCCTCCCCCCCTTTCCCCGACCTGGCTGGCCTGGCTGACCCTCTCTAGGCCGCCGCTGCGGCCGCCGCCGCCCGCCTCCCTGACCCTCCAAAAGGACTGGCCCTTCCTTGTGAGGCCAGCCCCGGGGGGGCGGCTGGCCGGCCGCCGCAAACAGGACCGCCAGCAAAACAGGCCGCGGGCCAAATAAAGCTGTCATACCGCGCGATTGTCGCAGCTGAGACGCGCTTGGCTTGCGCCTTTTCATTTCCGTTCGTTTCTATGCTGTTTTACGACAGTGTTTTCTTTTTATTTTCCTTTTCACAGTTTATCTCGGGTTGTTCCGTGAAACGCAGAGGAAGGGGTGAAAAAAGCAAAAAACGAAAACAAAAACAAATAAAAAACCAGTCCGACGCGGGTAGGCAATCGATGTTGCGCGGCGTTCTGCAGGGTCGTCCCCCCGTGTCGTCCCTCTGTGCCTTGCGGAAGGACCCGCGCCGCCGCGGGACACGCAGAACCAAATACCGGATGTCCTTTGCGGTGCGTTAGGCTCGCCCGCCGAACGGGCAATTTCCTGCCCGGCCTGTCCACCGCCGCCGGGGCCATACGGGGGGGTCCTGCCCCCGCCCCGCACGGCCTCGAGCGCGGCCTGGCGGCGGCGTCGGACAGGGGGCGCGTTAGCAAGGTGGGGAAAAAAGAGGGCAAAAAATTCGAGTAAAACGTTTGTTATCGCATAAAATATTTTGTGGAGCACGTCCAACGAACTTGAATTAGCCTCTAGTTGGGACACCGACCCATTACCTGGATAGGCTATTGAGGACGCACATTTTTTGCCAGACAATCGGTGGATGAATTTTAATTTTTTTTTTTGTTGCTGCGACAGCCTAATTATTTTTTCCCGGTCACTTCAGATGAAAATAAAGGAAAAGCAACAAAAAGAATAGGCAGAGGATTAATACAAATAAGAACGGCCCAGCGATTTGAAAAAAAAAGTTGGCATCAGCGGCAGGGGCTTATCAACGGCAACATCCTTCCTGCCAAAGTTTTCTAATTAGCATCGTTGTGACACATAAAGAGAGAGAGAAAGGAAGCGTGGGGGAGAGAAGGGGGAGCACACGATGGTCACTGAATTAAGCATTGATTGTTGTGCATGTGCGTTGCGTAGCCCATGACCATGCCAAGACACAGTGATTCAAAAAATTATATGCACACAAACAACAAAACACGGGATGCTGAAAAAGAGGAATAAAGTAAATTAACGGCTAAACGACAATGCCCAAGGAAGTAATTGCCATACTAACGAGTCTGCCTCGCTGATCCGCAGCGCTGATGGTGCTGCTGGCGAGACCCGCCATGAACGAGCTGTACCTTCTCGGGGTGTCGTACGCCGTGTGCGGCACCTTCCTCGTCCTGGAGCTCGTCTTCCTGGTGGCGGACGAGCACGCCGACCAGCATCTGCCGCCGTCCGCGGCCATGGGGCCCGCCCTCTTCTTCATCTACGTCACGTACGCGCTGCTGCCGCTGCGCCTGCAGGAGGCCGTGTTCACGGGCGTGCTGCTCGCCCTGGCGCACGTCGTCACCCTCACGGCCATGGCCGACGACCAGACGGGCGACTTCTGCAGCAAGGTGAGTCCGCAGTCAGCACACTCCGCACACTCGAAGTTAGTTACCAGCACTCTAAATTCTCAGTGCGAAAACACAAACTCTCTATAAAGCTCCCGAAAAGAAACACAAACAGAGTGAAAGATTTGTGCATTATTTGAGTTTTCCCTCGCCCCCCGTTTCAACGTGTATGCGGCGCACACTCTCCGAGCCCAAACCGCGCTTTATCGTCAGATAGAAGATTTAGAGGGGAGGGGATTTGAGAAAGAGAAGAGACTACTTTGCGGAGGCTCCGTATAAGCAAACGGGCACGGTCTTTACGCGGGGCGATGCGGCTACATCTTTGAAGAGACAACACACATGTGTGTGCACGGCACGGCGGAGGCGGGGATATCGAGGCGAGCGAGTCTGCATAATGAACATAGGGGCGAGCTGAGTGGGCGCATGAATACTGCGCCATGCCTACTTACCCTCCTCCCCATCGGCGCAAAAGTGGCCGCGCGCGCTAGAGCTCCTCAAAGAGGCGTGCCCCCCAAGGAGCGAGTAGTGCGCGCGGATCTAAAGCGCGACTCGGCTCGTGCAAGTTTTCGGTGTAACTTTTCGGTCAGGAAGAGAGACGGGGAAGGACCCACGTACCGTACCGCCCGCTGCTGCCACCCGGGGGAGTGATGTTGGCTTACCCACCCCTTCACTACACATATGCACACGCCGCTTACCTCACACACCGACCCCCGCCGTGACCCTGTAGGCTTCAGTCAGTTTTATCCCCGCATATCTTGAGTCAGTTTCTTTGGCCGAGCGGGCGAGATGTGCATCTTTCAAGCCTTGAAAACTGACTGGATAGTACCGAAGCGGTGCGCGGGGGGCCAGACCAAAGAAGCCGTTGTACCGCGGGACGCAGCCCCTGCCCGATACAGCCCCTGCCCGATACAGCCGTACTTATTCCTTGGCTGCCCGTCTGTGCCTGCTGCAGTGAGATATCACGATCTTCGTTCAGGCTTCAGCCGACTCCACGCCCCGGGTGCTGTGTGGAGTCCGTAGGCGCAAACTGGTTCCATCACAGGCATTGGACGTTATCTCGGTCTGTCAGGAGCGAAACTCGTGCTTCTCTTCCCTTCCGATTATCAGACCCCCCCCCCCCCTTGCTGCCTTCTCTCCCTCCCTCTATCCTCACCATATCACACGCACTCAGATAACACAAACCAGGCACAAGGCCATTATCACAGAAATGACAACACGATGGCACGAACGCGAGGACAATGTGCAGATAGAGGCATAAACTCGTGCCTCGGTTTCATCCGAGGCATTATACTTTATTTTTGTTTTTGTTCAATTTACGCCCATCGGACATGCGTTTTCCCATCGGCTGAGAGGAGGAAGACGGATGCGACTATAGCGCTCGGGTTGGCTCGTGAGCCTATGCTGCCGTAACCAAACTCCAGGCGGTAGCAACAAAGAACATAATTTTCGTAAAAAAATTACCCAGAGGATCGGGGATACCGAATCAAGCCAACCGTTACTTATTTTAAGAACA